TCCATGATCTGCCATCTGCAAGCTGGAGTCCCAGGAAAACTGGGGGTGTGACTCAGTCCAACCTCAAAGGCTAAGAACCAAGGGTTGCCAGTAGGGTAAATACCAGCCCAAGAGCAGGAGATGAGATGAGCTGTCTCAGTTCTAATGGCGAGGGATGAGAAAAAAGGAGTAAATTCTCCTTTCCTCCACCTTTGGTTCGATGTAGGTCCTTAAGGAATTGGATGATGCCCACTCACATTAGAGAGGGTCATCTCCTGAGTCCACTGATTCAAACACAAAGCTCATCCAAGAATCCCCCCACAGGCACATTATGTTTAATCTGGGCACCTCATAGACAGTCAAGTTGATACACTAAATGAGTCATGCTCACTTACATACACACACTGACACACACACACACACACACACACACACACACACCATGCTGCCCATCTCTTAAAAAAAAAAAAAATCTTACTAAAGATTCCTTTAGGCACACCAATGTGGCAAAACTATAGAGTTTGGGTTATCTATAGATACCAGTGAATGGAAATAAGTAATAAGCCATGACATTTCTAGTGTGTTCTCTAGTTTCTAAATCAGCTTTATGTTTCATCAAAACCAGTAAAATAAGCAGAAAAGAAGCTGTTCTCCCCATTTGACTGATAAGAAAAATGCAACTCAAAGAGGTGATTTATTTGATGTCCCTGAGCTGTTGGGTTGGGACTAGAACATAGAGCTTTGTGAGGACTTTTTAGGTGTTTTGTGGATGAGAGAGTAAAGATGGTATCTGCAGGTGAGGATGGATTAGGAAAGCCTTGGACCAGCCTTGCAAGGGGTTCTGAGCAGACTTTACAAGAGTCATGCTCACTTACATCATCTCAACCTACCAAGTGGTTGTTAATTACATTTCACATTATAATTATCTCATTAATCTTCCTGAAAGTTGGAATTTCTATAATACCTGACCATGGGGGAATGCTTTCCATCAGGCTTCTTGGGGGCGTATAAAGACCACCACCAAATACTCCCCACAAACAAAGGATCGGGAAGAACTCAGTTGCCCAGGATGATTGACAAACATCTACCATATCTTCCTCATGGGGTTCTCCTGGGACCCTTTGGAACACTTGGAGACCCTGTGATGGAAATCTTCCTGAGACCATTGCTAGCCACCCTGGTATGATAAATGGTCTCAGGCCTCTTCATTTAGCTTCTTCCTCACCTAGGATGAAACAATGCACAGTGAGAGGAAGTGGACCATCAGCCCACCTTACCCGGGGCATACACATACACACCTGGTCAGGTTTTATCATTCCATACCATTTTCCAAAGATCAAAGAATGTGGCACACATTATTCAATAGTAAGGAAAACAGATGCCCAAAGTGCACACAAAATGGCCCCAGTAACCAAAAGACATTGCATTCTTTACCAGCCTGTCCCTTTACTAGTACCAAGATAAAATTGTCACGTTTGCCACTGCACTGGGTTCCAGGCAAGATTCTAGCTCAGAAAACAACTCTGCAGAAAGCCCTCTTCAGAGGATGCTTGAGAGCACCGTGGAGGCCACAGCACAGAGCTGTGGATTGAACAAGCCCAGCCTCTGAATATGGCCAGATGGAGGCTGCCTATAGATCTTCCTTGAAGAGTCTCTTGCCTCCCCTCCCACTTCCCCATTTTATCCTTCCTCAAGGGAAATCTCAGAGCCTCAGGCAAGCAGGGATCTTTGCACACACTCTTTATTGTCTCATTCAGTTTATTTCCTCTGCTTGAGCAGAAACACATGAAAGAAGCCATTTCTGGGTTGCCAGGTAAGTCAGAGGAGAAAAAGGTAGAGCCAGTCTTTTGAATGTTAAATGGCAGCACATTTCAGACCCCTGGAAACTCCTGTTAACTCCTCTGTGGGGAAGTTGGCTTTCAGGTTTTGCAATACAATGGGAAATTTATGGAGTGAGCAGAAAGTCTAGGGCTTTGTTCCATCTCAGGGAATCTTCAGCTAAAATCACCTGGGAGAGTGAGGTGTAAAGGCCAGGGGGAGTAACCATGGGAGTGGGGGGCATGTGAACAAACTACGGCAGGGAACTGGGCAGAAAGCACCAGAATATGAAAGTCTTTTTTTAACAATCAGGAACATGTCTCACCACCATTCCTAGATAGGTTCTTAGACACACCCTTTAGGTCTCTGTGTAGATGCACCTGAAGACATCCAAAGAGACGAGTCTTGAACTCAGTTGATACTAAATAGAAATGGGTAATAGTAATGCAGCAGCTCTCCTGTCCACCAGGTTTTCCAGTGTCGGGACACTTAGTTCTTTAATGCTTTTCTCTTATTGGGTACATTTTGACTCTCACCCTTTGTATTGCCTTTGCTGAGAGATGGTCAAGGTCAGAGAAGGTGAGAGAGAACTTGCATCAACTAATTTGGATCATTAACTGGTATACTGTTAGAAGCTTTACTGTGGACAGTCTGCAGTTAATATTCACCCACAGAGCCTCCTGGCACTGCCTAATGGCTGTGTTAAAGAGACGGCCTTCCCCCTCTTTCACACCCATCCTCCCTCCCACCACAGCTAGAGACATTTTCATTTAGCAGGTGAATCGAATGGTGAACTGAAAGCTGTGCTTAAACGTTAGGGTTGTTTTCTGATGGTTGGTTGTGAGTTAGTTGCACATTTGATGAGCTTCCAGTGGATGTTAACCATTAACTCACTGATCGTTAGTCGCAATGTAGGTGTAAATGTTTGACAGAAGAGCACGCACACACACACAGCAGAATGCTAACAAGTCCCCAGAACGAGTTAGGAAGCCAATCGGTGGGAAAGGAAGTGGACATAGTAAGAGTAGAAATGATCTATTATGGAAACCGTGGACAGAGTTTCTGCTAAATCATTTGTACGCTGTTAAATGATTTACATTCTGATGGGACCTGGTAATCCCAGAACTGCAATTCCAAACATTCCTCCACTTCCCAGCACTGACGGTCTATATCAATTACAGCAGCCATAAAGCTCTTTCAGCTGGTTCACCCTAAAGAATTATTGTCCCCCATTCTTCCACATGCTTATTAGTCTCTTAGTCCACATTTCTGGGGTGGTTCAGTAGCAAATATTATTATCCAACTTTGAAATTCCTAGACTTGAAAGAGCCTGAGGATATCCTTCCTTCAAAAGATAAGGATTGCTTGAATACATTGTTTTGGGTTCCATGGGCCAATTCTGGACTCCCTCCCCAAACTGGAAAATCCATGGATCAGAGTTTGATTTATAATTCAAGTGGAGAGTAAATCTAAAGATAACTTCAATTATAGATACTGTGCTAAGAATATGTTGGCTAAGACTGAGTCCTTATTGATGTGGGGGAATGCAGATCCCAGGCAAGGTCACGTATTGTATAGAGAGTTAAACATTTGTTTCCAGATGCAGTGGCAAATGTCTGTAATCCTAACTGAGGTAGGAGGATCACACATCTGAGGCCAGTCGGGGCAACTTGGGGAGACCCTGTTCCAAAATAAAAACTAAAAAGGGATGTAGTAGAGCACCCTGAGTTCAATCCCCAGTACTGAAAGAAAGAAGTTAAGAGTTTGTTTCCAGTTCCATAACTGGTCCTTGTGACCTTGGGTAAGCTCCTTCATGATTTTGGATTTCCATTCTCAATAAAGCATGGGACTGAGCTTGGTCTCTAAATCTCTCCTATGTCTAACTCTGTCATCCTGTCACTCACTATAGGATCTGGCAATATTAGGGAAAGAAAAAAATCAAGATAGATATTTCTACTTAATCTTGACATTAATTAACGTTTTTATTATTGTTACACGCCAGTGAAATCCAGGTTTCCCTTTGCATTTAACATACGAACTCTATATAACAATACAGTCTTGTGCACTGAGAAGTTAATTAAGAGGGTAGGTCATGTTAAGTGTTTTACCACACACACCAAAACATCTTTGAAGATAATGGACATGTTCCTTGCCTTGATCACATTGATGGTATCACAGATGTATACACATGTTAAGTATGTGTAGTTTTCATATGTGTTTATTATACCTCAATAAAGCTGTTAAAAAATGTGGGACTATAGTTATACTCATGTGTCACTTAATGACAGGGATGTATTCTGATAAATGCACTATTAAGTGATTTTTTTTTTTACTGTACAAACATCAAACTGTACTTACACAAACTCTGACGGCTTTGACATCGTTAGGCCATACAATTTTATGAAATCACCATCGTATATGTGATCCACCATTGACCAAAACATACTTATATAGTGTTTAACTTTATGCACATTTTGAATGTATATGCATATATATGTATAAATACACACCAGATTTTTTTTAAAACCCAGAAGTTTATGTTCTTTTTAAAGACCATGTCCCTTGATCACAATTAAATATTTGGAAGAAGAACTAATAGTGCAGGAGCATATTTAAACTAGACTCTATAATAGCTCTGACCAATAGAACTATGAGAGAAATGTTCCGTGTCTCTGCTACAACATGAGAGCCACCGGCGACAATGAACCATGAGGACATGAAAGAAATGTGGCTAGTGCAACTAAGGAACTGTATTTTTAATGTTGTCTAACTTTAATCTTAACATAAAGAGTTAATGCTATCCCAGTACAGCATTTCTTTCAGCAAAGCCTTGCTCCTAGTTCTGAAGTAGAATTTACAAAGAGAATTCAATTTGTCATCATGCCACCACATTTCAGTGACTAATCAGATGAACAGGTGGACCACCCATTAATGTCTCATCAAGATTTAAAGATGAAGCCTTTGAGGTGACCATATAGGCCCAGGAACACTGGTCCCTTCTGGCTCAAAGCTGAAAAAAACACTGTCAGGGAGTGATGGAGACCAGTAATTCAGACCAGGGATCTTGGGGACTAAAGATAGTCTATGAGTATTTGAGATTCTGGAAAATCCTCAAATAGACCAGGTCTCTTTTTTAGAGAGATGTCAGAAAGAAGTCATTGTTAAGTACCAAACTTACCTTCCCTGTTGGGATTCCTTTTCAGGAGCTTATTGATGTCGACAGTGAAGTGGTGTTTGAATTGGCTTCCTATATTTTACAGGTAAGTTGCTCTACAAGAAAGGAAGAGGAAATAAGACTAACCACTCACAGGCAATACTATTTCCTAAGTTTTTCTAGCTAGAAGCTGGAAGAAGCCATTAGGAATACTGATCCCATGGCAGTAAATAGCAGTTTCTACTATTCCAGAAGCGTTAGCCAACTCTATCACTGTAAAGAAAGCTGCATGTTTGTGAGCCTGGGAGAAACTGAGGTCATTCAATGACCCTATTTTTTTTATCTTTGAAGTTTGGTAACACTCTTCATCCATGGAGAAAGCCAAGAGAATAGCTAGAATTAATTGCCAAAGACTCGCCCATCCCCCTGGAAAGACGGAAAAATCTTTAGCTTATGTAAAAAGAGAGATATGGCTTTGAAAGTATTAGCTATAATGATGACAAGGTGAGTTGAAATTGATATCATGAAGTTATTCCATCAACAAATATTTCTAGAACACTGTTAAGTCTCCATGGCTCCTGCCTCTAAATCTTTGTGTGATGGAGAAATAGTCCTCAACACCAAATGGAACAAAAAGTGACATAGGAAGTAGTTCTATCCAGACAGGTGTGAAGCTTCAGAAACTTTAAACCTGAACAAGTGAGACCAGGACCAAGCTTTGGAAACTTGCCTTTTGTCATTATGAGTCATGTTCTTTATATTTTACCTTCTACAGTTTGGCCTGGGGTCTCTATTCAGGGAGCAAAGGAACTTCTTCCTCATGGTATTCCTATAGCAAATTGGATAATAATAATGTATTTTAAAGTCTATTGCTGAATTTATATGTATCACTGATGTTGCATTTTTTTTCTTCCACAGGAGGCAAAGGGGGATTTTACTAGGTGAGTTTACAAACTATTTTTTGGCTTAAAAAAAAAATCTATTCAAGGGCTGGGGTTGTGGCTCAGTGGTAGAGCGCTTTCCTAGCATGTGTGAGACACTGGGTTCGATTCTCAGCACTACATATAAATAAATAAGTAAAATAAAGGTCCATCAACAACTAAAAAGTATATTTTTTTAAAAAAGTATTTGATTGCCTTTCTATTAAAAGAAATTATCCTGCCTGCCCTCTGTAGGAGGACAGTTTATTAATATCTTATGTTAGCGGTGAGATCTCAATTCTCAGTTTGTCAATTGAAGCAGATAGATCAGAAAGAGGAAAGATAGTCCTGGGCTGAGTCCATCCTAAGTGAGAAGTCCTCAGGTTATGCCAAGTTCAGAGCCCAGTGTCACCTGTGGTCATTATTCTGGGGTTTGATGGGTTGTTCCCGAGTCTCTGTGAAGCCTGGAATTACTACTCAGGTGTTAATATGGTTGCAGGTAACATGACAGCCCTAACAAGTATGCGGGTGTCTTTTTTATCTCTCAATTTAGTCCCTAATCCTCCAGGGACAAAATGCTGTCCCTTAGGAAGATGTCTTTCATAGACAGCATAAATATCCCACTTCAACTGTCCTTCTATGTCAAGATACTGCATTGTAGAAAAAACAAACAGACATAACTACTGGAAACCTGGGAACGGCTTCCCTGTAGTACTGCAAACCTGAACCTTGTCATTCATTCCATAAGCTCCACTCATTGACCAACTTGGCTGAAATCGCCCCACAGTCTCTCCTGATCCTTACCAAAACCTTCCCACAGCAGAGGGTGGTAGCTGTCCACCCTAACAGAATTCTCTGCTCAAAGACAAATGTTGCTCCTCTTCCTTCTCTTTTAAAAATGGAAACAAGTGGAGGGCTGGGTTTGGCTAGTGGGCTGTAGATTGCTGACCCCAGGCTAAAATGAAGGGATTCCCTCAACTACATTTGAATATTTGCTTAAGAAGACCTCAGACCCCCTTTACTTAGGTTTCCCAAGTCCTTAGTAGAAAAAAAAAGTAGTCATATTTTAAATGAATAATGATTGTAAAGAAACTTAGCTGGGGACCTTGAACATGATAGGTGGCCAGTCACCATCTACTGAATTTGTTGAATGAACCATTTTGGGTCATGGTAACTAGTTTATAACATTTCTTTTCTTTGTTACTTTCTTCTGACCTTAATTTGGTATTGGAATTTGGGCTGTTGATCAGTGTAAATCCATATCTACTTACAAAGATTTCTGGAGTCCTGTGAATAATGGTTTAAAAAACACAAATCCAAAGGATTCCAGTGTCCAGTCTACTTACTCTGAAGGTACTTTTTGGTTTGCCTGCTCTGCACTCTGCTGTAAATATTATTTATTTTTGAGAGTACCCTGACAGGATGGAATGTGAACTGGGAACAGCCTCATCTGGCCCCATGGATCATGGGAACGTGGCCACAGGGGTTGCCAGAGAGGAGGAAGTGCAGGCCTGGCCTGTGCAGTCTTTCATGGCCCCCTAATGAGCTGTGGAATGCCAGCTAGTTGGCTGAATTCAGAGAAACAAAGAATCCTGGTTGAGCTTCATTTGTCAGAGTGCTGTCTAGAGGTTTGTTTGTAGCTGCAGCTGTCTGAGGAGAAAAATAGCTGTCAGGGGAGGGGAAGGACACCTTATCTAAAGGTCAGTTTATCTCATCACATAAAACCCACCCCGTAGAAGTTGGAGGTGATCTGTTACATTGGGGTCCTTGATACACACAGTTTTCTGGAGCAGGTCCACAGTGAATAAGAATCTCTTCAGAAGTCCAGAGAAAATAGTGTGCTTGAGTGGTCTGAAATAAGAGAAGTCACTTTGAATTCCTTGTGTGCGCCTCTTCCCATCAACTTCTGGGACGATCCCCAGAACACTGAAGCTGACCATGTTTGTTTGGTTTGGTGGCTGAACATTAGGCATTTTAGATGTCCCATTTCATAAGTTAGTTTTGTAGAAAGTGAGTTTTGCTGTCATTAATGTGTGACTCTAAACCTTAGTTGTATAGAACAGTGGCTTTGACTTGGAAACGTACCCTGTAAAAGATGTCTTGTCAGAAATACTTGAGGAGGGATTTCATATCTACAAAACACACAAGGCTCAGGTCCTAATTCTAAGACAGGCTTAGCTAGATGAACAAATAACCTTTTGGATTAATGGTCACACACAAAAGGCAAATTAACTCTTTCAGAGCCTGAGGGGGTCTTGAATCTAAAACTTCCTAAAAGGCTTATTTTGCCCAGGATGCTATTATTTATACACTTCCATTTCAGTGACTGTATACAGATAGCATTCAGCTTAAATGACTATTAAAAATCTATAAATTATGGGAACAAATTCCCTGAAGTACCAGAGAATAAAAGAGAGAAATGAGAGAAGTCAAAAGTGCTGATATACTTCAGCAGAAAGAGAACTAAAGAAGGATAACCCAGAACCATAACTGCTTTCCTAGGAAACTTGCAGGCTCTTGTCTTTCTTTTTTTGGTCTTCTCGTTTTGTTCAGCAGATCCCTCTTACGTAACTCTCGTCCTTCCAGTTAATAGAAATACTGACTTCCTTGTCTTACTACACTTGACAGTGAAATGTTGGGTTTAGCATTGATGAAAGAAAATGACTGAGGGGTAGATATGTGGTATCGCCTATGAGAGGAAGAAATCCATGCCATCCATGTGTATTCTGACATACAGTGGACAGATTTGGACTCGATCATTAAAGGGTTAGGAAATAGTCTTATCTAAAAATAATGTTTTCTCACTTCTATTATTTTCCACAACACAGCATGGGGGTAATCTTGTTTCATTTCCTGGTGTGTGTACATGTAAAAAAGATTTTTTAAAAAAATTCTCATATCTGTCAGTGTTCAGGAAATCAGTAGAGTTGGCAGCTCTATGTAAAAACATGTCAATAGCTTCTGAGTCGTTAATCAAGGCAGTTCTAGGAACCAATATTAGGTGGAGAAGAGCCAACACAGTTTAAAAACAAAGGCTCTCATTAATAATCACCCTTGAACACTATTAAACCAACAGACATTACCTGTGATTACACAGCTTTGTCACAAATGCTGTAGCGTTTATGTGCCTTGCACTGACATTTTAATTCTAAAACTTCTTTTTAGACCCTTGAGTTATTTTAGAAAAATAATTTTTTCCATACAAAGGTCAATACCAAAAGCCCCATTTAATCTACTGACAAGACATTCAAATTTTCTAGTTATGTTCTAATTTAACTTAATAGAAGATTCATTGCTGCACTGTGCTCAGTAAGGAATTAGATATAAGAACTTGATTTTCCCCTATTAAGAGGAAAACCCTACTTATCCTAATCTTGAGAATCACCTCACTTGTCAGCGTCTGTCAGTCCTTCTGCTATTTCTAGAAATGTGATATACATTTAAAAAAATAATTTTTAAACAATTTTTAAAAATTGAAACATTTTTAAACAGTTTTATGCTGAACACCAAAAATCATAAATGCCGAAATCACACTCCCCTTGATATAAAGAATCAGCTATACATAAATAGGGACTAGTAAAAACCATCTGCTATGCAGAATTTTTTCTTAACAAGATTTATTGAAACCAGATCAGTGAGCTCCATAGCTTTGGGCTGTCTACTGGGACCTGGAAATATCTTTGTTTCAGAGGACCGGATGTATTGATGCTAATCACTAAAACAGGAATCTCCCAGCAAGAGATTTACTAGGACCCATCAGCCAATAACACCTGAAAAAGACTGACATTAAGGAAATTCCACATAAAGATCCTTGGACTACGTTCAGCATCCCTGGTGGAGTCCTTTAGGGCGGAGCCCGTCACATGTTTCAGAGAGAAGCCCAGCAGTCACAGGCTCTGCTTCCAAGCACAGCGACCTAAGGGGAAGTGTGGTTTTGATTGGATATTTGGGTTTCAGTTTATATGACGTCCATACAAAGTTAAATATGACTCTGCTGAGAGTATCAGCTTATTAGAGTTCAGGGGTCAGTATGAAATCTTGTGTCTCTGAGAGATCAATCTGCAAGTTTTTTATTTAAAAAAAAAAACATTCCCACTTTCAGGAATAGGGCAATGCTTCACTCAATCGATAAAAACAAAAAGCAATTCTTCACTAACAAGGGAAATTGATTTTCACCTCATTTTAGAAGAGGAGTTGGAGTATTTATTTGTGCTGAAAAAATCCCATTTATTTCCAGAGACCACATGTTTATAGTTCCCTGGGAGAGCAATTAGAGGCAAAAAGTGTAAAGATCTTCTAATATTTTGTCCTCTATAAACTGTGGGACTGTATGGTCACTAGTATGAAGAGAAAGAAACTTTTGTGACCCCTCGCCAAGGTTCCCTCTTGATTTTCTCTTTTAATCTTGACTGGGTTTTTTTTTTTTTAAATTTATTCTGATTTGTTATATATGACAGCACAGTGCATTATAATTCATATTACACATACAGAGCACAATTTTTCATATCTCTGGCTGTACACAAAGTATATTCACATCATTTGTGTCTTCATACATGTACTTAGGATAATGATGACCATCTCATTCCACTCCCATACTCCCTCCCTTCCCTTGTCTGCCCTATTTTGAAATGCATTTGTGAATAAGTGAATAATGTAAACTAAAGTTGGCTTACTAGTCTCTGAAAATTCCTGGTTCGTAAGACTTTTTGGTCAGGCCAGAGGATGCAAATCGTAGGTCAAAGCAAGAATTTTAGATCAACAGGAGAAAAAGATAATGAGCTAATTTTCTTCTTAAAAACTTTTTTTAGTACTTTGAAAACCTTTGTATAGATTGCTATCTTTAAAAGATGACAGTTATTTTCTTGTCCAGCTTGACAATATTAAGAGTTGGTTAAAGGGGCTGGGCTTGTGGCTCAGGGGTAGAGTGCTTGCCTAGCCTGCTTGAGGCATTGAGTTCGATCCTCAGCACCACATAAATGTAAAATAAAGATATTGTGTGCACTTAAAGCTAAAAAATAAATATTAAAAAAAGTGGATTAAAGCAACAGTCTGTAAATAACAACTCCTTGCTTACTAATGTCATTACTATGCACTTATATAAGTAGTTTTACTAATACAAGTCTAATTAAACAAGCTCAGTTTTACATCAATATTAGACCTTTTGATCATTTGGGGTATATTTTCCTACAATTGTTTAATTGCCACTAGAGAGGAAACAGCTGTCATTGATCATATGGTAATAGAAGTAAATTTGGTGAGGCTTTTAGATAGTTAAAAAATACTTAGTTTTGTTGGGAATAGTTAACATTTGGAATACAACTTACAGAAGCTGATAGTATCTGTCATACCATTTTCCTATTGGAAACTTCCAATGAAAAACATCATCTTTCCAACTTGAAACATACCTTTCAGCCCAAAGAAGACTTTTTGTGGGAAGAATTGAAATTAATATAATTATCAAATATCAATTTATTTTTAAGAAGAAAGAGGGATGTGTAGAGCTTTCCCATGATTTATAAATGACCTTGAGGACCATGAGTAATTGAGAAGCAGCTGGAATCTTTCATGCCAGCAAGAGCTTTTGAAAGAAATAGAATCTATGAAAATTTAAAGCAAAATGTTCAAGTGGAAAAGTTATGAATTGTTACAGAGAGCTTTGTTTTGTGCACAAAAGTCCATTTGACTGTGCTTTTAAGTGTGTAATTCACATTTTCCAAGCATAAAATAGTATTTGGATATGGCTTTTTGCAGAATGATATTCTTCAAATCTTATGAGAATTGTTAAGATATAAAGTAAAAAGGAAATATTGTATTATGACAGCTTATCTCTTTTGTTAAGCATTTATTTAATCTCACTATCATATTTAGAGTGAACTCTGAATAGTAAAAAGATGATTCTGGCACTGTGACAGTTTTTCAGAGTTGAGATTCTGAAGCTAAAGGGTAACAGTGTAGAAAATTAGGGAGTTTTTCTTCTCAGCGATTTGAGTAAAATTATTTGAAATTGTGAACTTTAGAAACATTTTTTAACTTGGATTAAATTTTACACATTTACAACTGAATTAGAAATTTCACAAAACTTTTCTTTCAACCGAGGAAAACCAGACTCATTAGTTAAAAAAGAAATCCTTATATATAATTGAACAGTTAGCATCAGAAGGAAAGACATGTAATTCATAAAAAGTATTTGTAACATTGCCCCTCCACAAGATTGGTAAGTCAGTGTGACCTATTTATCCTTGACACATGCCCAGACTCCAGAATCTCATGCTGGGAAAATCTTTCCGGGTCCCCAGGTGCTTCCCTTGATCTGCAGATGTCAAAGGCAGTGACTGAAGTTTCACAGACAGTGGGTACAGTTCCACATGGAAGACTCCTGCAACATCTGTGGAGCCATCAGCTTCACTGAGTCTCCCCTGCACACCTGGGGGAAAGTGTATGATAGACAATTTGCCACTTCATTCATTGTTACTTCCAACTTTTCCTTGGTTCACAAATAAAAGGCAGGCAAGGAGGAAGCGAAAGAAGAGATTGTTTTCTGCAGGCCTTTTAAAGATCAGCAGAAAACAAAAATCTGTAACTTATTAATCTGCCTTAGAGTTTTCTAGGTTCCTTGTGCAATGGACAGGAATACAAATCCACAGAAAATTAGGATATAAATGCTTGGAATCCAGAATTTCTTGGGTTTGAGACCTGTGATTTGGTGCTGGTACCCTGTATTCCTGAACACCTGGGGCAGAGATTGGGGCGGCACCTGGGATCAAAACACATCATCACTCCTACATCAAGGCATGGATGGATGTTCACACCACAGAGGAGAGATATAGGTCAAATTTTGCCTTAGGTAAAAAAAAAAAAATGGATTTGCCTTTTGCCACAAAATGGGATAAGAAAAGTGTATTTCTTGGAGTATTTTGGGTTTGGGAATTGTGGATAACGGATTGAAGTCTTGACATATTCTTATTTTGTTTTGAAACTACTTTTCCCTGGAAGACTTTTCCTTTATGATACACTCACAAAATATGAAAGAGTTGATCTGGTGTTGGCATAATGGCAGTATTTCTGAGTTCCAGGCTCTACTCTTATGTTACACTAGCAAAAACTTTGTGGATTTAGTGCTCTGTTGTTTTTATAGCAATGCAGATCAAAACAATTGGTTTATACACCCAGAATATTCTGTGGTCCCCGGGTTTCTCCTACAAGTTACAGGTATCTCATTTGATCCATAAGAAGTTTCCTGGAAACACTATTTCCTAATTTTTTAAAGGAAAAAAAAATGATGGGTTTTGCTAATCATTTCCTCAAGTTTAATTTTGATCACCTTTGATTTTATGGTGTCTAGGTTAAATTTGTCGTTGTTGTTTTGTTGATTTGGGAAATTTTCTATTTGATATATTGCTAGAAGTTTTTGTTTTTTCCCTCAGTACATCTTTCAAAATTCCCATGTTTTAGGCAGTAGAAGACAAGTAGGTCATGTCGGCTCTCCGTCCCATGAAAAACTAGCATGGCATTGACATAACCATTTTTATGCTGGCAACATTGATAACTACTTAAAAGTTTTGAAAAAAATCTGGTTGATATAAAGAATAAAAAGAATGAAATTTTATTTTCAGTTTAGCAACAGACTCTAAGAGACTTTTATGGTTTCTTCTAAAAATAGAATATGACCACAATGAACTTTTAAGGTGTGTTGTAAGTTAGCATTTACCAAGGGCACCGAACTCTGCCGGGGAAACGTCAGAGTGAAAGTCATCGAGAGGAACTTCTAGCACATTTGTTAGGCTATAACAGCACAAGTCTCTGAGGGTGGAGTGACCCCTTTTCCCATCAGGACAGCTTTTTGATTTCCCAGCGCAGAGTCTGGCTGGATGGACGGGGCTGGACACCTCTAAGTCACTAGAAATGTTTAGAAACAGCAGAAAGGCAAACAGAACATTTCTACATTCTTGTCCTTTGGGAAGGATTAGAAGCTATGGATCCCTTCCAGAATGTAATGGATTTGGATGGGCTTCACGCCCTGGTGATTTCTTGTTATATTTTTTGTGTAACCTTGCCCTGGAGGAGAACTAGAAGATCCACTGCAAGTTTCAGCAAGGAAGTCAAGCCTGTGGCTGTCATCACGGAAACTTGTTTGCCAACAAATGAGTGTTTGGTGGGTAAAATGATCCCTTCCTCCCTTAGTTCCTTCCTTCCCCAAATGTGATAGATAGATCTAAACTCAAGTTCCAGCTCAATAAAGGAGCAACTAATTACTTTTCTCACAATTTCATGCAATAAAAGTTGACCTGCTAAAGGTTTGAGGCACCTCTCTAGACAGTAATGAACCAATGGATCAAATCCCTGTGCTCAGGGAACTTACAGTAAAATGGGGAGAGAAATCTAGAATTCTGCTGCCGTGAATGTTTGTTTAAACTTGGTCCAGCTGATCTCTTCAGTTCAAGTTAGATGGCCTTTGTGACTTAGATGTGCTCCACCAAAGGGAAAAATGATGTTCTTGCCCTTTTTTTTTCATGCTCGTTTCCCCAAAGCCAGCATTTCCACCAAAAAGACCTGTTCAGTTATTTTTCTATGTGCATCTCTTGCCTCCCAAGCTAAATTGTCCTTATTTTTTGGATAAGAACCCTGGCTCATCCTGTGGGGTCCCTTGCAGTACTCTCCACGTAATGGTGTGGGCTTCGTGAAAACGTTTACATTATTGACTATTAAGTGAAAATTCTTGCCTTGCTACTCAGATTGTAACAATCCAAGTATGTGGATACATTGATTCAAACAATCACAAGTGTAGCTTTTCTTTCTGATTGGTTGTTCAAAGCTAGGATTTATAAACATTATTCCCTTGTTTCCTCCACTTAGCAGCGTGAGTGTTGGGCTGTTTGCTGTCTAAATGCCCCAGGATCTCCCCACCTGTGCCTAGGGTGTTCCTTCCTTTTTCATATTCACTTATCCATCTCCTATCTCCTTGCTTTTGGGATGCTACTACGTGGTATCTTGGTGGACAGTCTTTGCCTTGCTTTGTATGAATGCCACAAAAACTGCTAACAGCACAGATCAAAATTATGGATCATGGGATCCATAGAACTTCATGAGATAAGCCCTTGCACCCCAGCTTCTTGGCTGGTGTAGACACTCTTTCAATACCAGAACCATCCACAAGTTGGATGCTGTGAATGGGTCTAGGGGTAGAGTGGGTGTGATCATCCCAGAAAGCCCAGCTCAGAGGGAATGCAAATCTGTTGAGTGTCTGTAGATGAGTTAGGCATCTGAAGAAGGCTGGTTGAATTAGGGGAGTTTAAAGTGTCTTCCACACCTCAGCATAATTGAGTCTATGGGAAAAAGACATTCTGGTTTGAGAATCAGATGTGTGAAACCTCCCAATAGCAAGAGCAATTCACTTCCCACTTCCTAAGTAGTTTCTGGGCATTGTCAAAAGCCAAGTTTATTTATTTGTTGTATTTCTGCAAACAGTTTCCAGTGTGTGGTCAATCTAAGCAAAAAAAAAAAAAACACAAATAAAACCAGAATCGTGTTAGGCCATCAGTGCTCCCAGGGAAACTGTGATGATACCCAGAAAGGTTATCCTGGGATCCACCCTGGTGGCACCCCAGGGTCCCTTCCATGGATTCATACCAGGGACTGGTCAAGGAACCTCAGAAATCCCTCTGTGAGGACAAGGTTTGAAAAGGCAACTGGGTCCCATTAATGCTCTGTCCTGGTTCTGTCCTGGTTCTGTCCTGGTCCTGTGCTGGAAGAGGTGGTCACTCAGCTCAGTTGTCTTGCTTTCTTTTCCATCTATGTAAGAAAATAAATATAAAGAAAGCTCCCTTCCTGCCACCACTTCCATTAAAAAGGGAACACCCGTGGGGCTCCCAGACATGGCAGCAGGCTCAGTCCTATCAAATAGTTCAATTATTTTCATGGAGGTTGAGTGTGTTTATTGGCCTTCTCTCTTTCAGCAATGAGGTCGTGAGGAGTGACCTGAAGAAGCTGCCAGCCCTTCCCACCCAAGCTCTGAAGGAGCACCCCTCCCTGGCCTACTGGTAAGACCCCTGAGTCTTCTTAGGAGCAGGTCCCCCCAGGAGTTGCACAAGGCTCAGACAATTGAGCCTTTGTGGGTCTCCTGGCCTCCCTCTGTATTAAGTAAATTTATGTCTTCAGAAACTACTTTCTGCATTTATTTAAATGGAATGTTGTACAGGAGAGCTCTCCTTGTTATTTATCTGCATCTATGAAACCTAAAATTTTGCTTTAGAAGTGTCGTCTTGACGCCTCATGTGTGCTGGTAGGGTTTTCTGTTGGAACTGTGTCATTCCATGACAGGAGATGAGGTTTGGGGCTGTGGGAGAAGTACAGGGTTTTCAACCGATGAGAAACTGATTCTTTCCTTTAGCCTCCTCCATGTTTCACATCTTTTGGTTTAGCCGCTTTGTAACATTATGCCCAAGTTCATCTGTTGGGACCTAAATGACTGAGCTTGAGTTATTCAGGAATCTGAAAGGTTCCCAGATTGCGGTTTGGGCCACAGTTAAGCAGGGCTTGCATTCCTGGGTAGTGTGTTGAAATCCTAGTGGGAGCTTATGTCCTGACCACTGCCCCTAAGGACGGCACTGCTTCTCTGATGTTCCTTCTGACGCCTCCACAGAAATCAAAGCAATTTCTTATAGAATGAAACAGTAAAAGAAAAACCCAGAATGAGTTGATCCTAATAAGGTAGGGCTTGTGACTCACCATGTGCTTCTTCTGTATGTGCTTCCTGAAACACTCAGATTCCTGCATTTCATGTTGCCTGTACATTTCTAGGCAGTCAACTTGATCAGCCATTCAGTGGCTTTGAGCAATCTTCTCTTAGGACAGATGCATCTCGATGCAGAGCTCATTATGTCTGAGCAATCTGGGAGCAGGATTCAAGGCCCCGAGAACTCTCTTCAGGATACTGGTGTCCCGAATTTCATCTCTCTGAACTGATCTGTTGTCGCTCTTCTTTCAGCAACATAGATGCATATAAATAACAAGACTTCTATTATAATCTGTGCCCCCAAAGCAAATTCTGTTTAATCTGCAGGGATTTTGCATGTATCTAAACTGATCTTTCAGTCTGTGTATATGAACACCAGAAACCTATGTTCTCATTTCTTGGTTCCCAAAACTCTTTTGCCCTACTTCCAACTCCTTATGTCTCTGGGCTTTATCATCTATATCCATCTAGCTGTTCCCTTCTGGAAAACCCATGGTGAAGGAGGTAGGGATGCAAGAAGGTGATTCTAGAGACTACTCGTTCTTACAGAGAGAGATGGATTTCTCACTGAGAGCTGTAACGCTAGTGGCTTGTCTGGAGTCAGAATTGCTCATTGCCCTTGACCTCGTCCATCCCTCCATCATCTCTTTCTTCATTTGCTTCCAAACACTGTTACATCTTGATGCACATTTCAGATCTATGAACTTCTCCTTCATCCTCTTTCAGGATTTTTCTTTTCTGCCTCCACCAGCTGCTCTTTGCTCACATATTATTACATTTAATGCAGAAATGCCTTCCTTCAAGCACATGCTTTCTGTCTTTTGTCAACAAGAACACCTACCCTTGGATCCACCCCTTTAACTGATTTGCTAGTACATCCCTTATCTCTGTGACCATAAAGGGCATCATTCAGATCCATAAGCACTGAGACTACTGTCCAAACACACTGAGAGGGTGGCAGAATGGGGGAAGCTAGGTGACTTCAGCTTCACAGTCCATCTTGTGTCAGTAGCATGTTGTGGTTGGCGAAAGCATCATCCTATTTATATGAATATAAATATCTAAAAATGAGAAGGAAAATGCCATTCATGAGGCCTATAGACACAGAACAAAAGTAGAGACAGAGCTAGTAAAGCAAGCTTATCCAAGTTTTCCCTTTTCTGCATCAGCATTAGCATCAGTAAGATTGACCATGACCCCTCATGGGTAGAGGAGACCTTTTCCTGCTCCCCGCGGCCACACCGTCTCAGGCTGCCCTGATCATTCCTGAACTAAGGACGTACATTCACTGTGCTTCTGAGTGCTGCTCCTGCCGGCTTTCACAGATGCAGAGGGCAACCTTCACCTGGAGCCCATCTGCACAGGCCAGGGCAGGATGAATACAGATGAACAGTTTTGAGAGTCACAGTGGAGTCTCTGAACTGCAAGGTTCTGATTATCTCGGTTACTTTCATTACTTCTCTGCTGCTTCAGTTTCTCCATCTGTAAAATAAGATTAACCCACCGACCTACATCTCTACAGTGTGTGCCAGGGACACTGAAACTGTTAGCTGACACCTCCCCTGAGAGACAAGGAACATCACTGTCACCATTCTTCCTTCCACCATCCGTGCCTTTCCTGCATGCCACAGTCTGCAGAGAGGCCATTTAACTAAAGGACACAGTCCAGCCTGTGGCAGGTCACAGTCAGCCTTGGTCAAGGGCTTTTTTCTTCCATGGTGTCCTCCAGATAGTACTTTGGGATTTGGTCTCCTCTGGTTCTTAGGTTCTTAAAGTCATTTCTTATGACTAACAAGTTCCTACCACAGATCTGGGTATTGGGGAAACAGTCTCTGGACATCAGAGCGTCCAGCCCCTTTGTGGGTTCCTGAAAAAAGTGGGAGGGCAGCGGTGGGGCAGGATCGGTCCTCAGCCCATGTTGAGTGTGTGATAGATTCATGGTTTAAATGGGAAGAAAGGATCTGGAAAAAGTGGAGACAGGAGAAGGAAGCTATTGGTGGCTTCACAGATGGCCCCAGCCAGCAGGAGACACAGGGCGGGTGGGGGAGGGCAACAGTTTCTGCAGCTGTCAGGCAGGCACTGTGAGACCCCATGTCAGGCCATTTAGTTGGTAAACAGCTGAACAGCTGCCTGACAGTGTTTTGGACTTTGTTTCATGGATGTTTTCCTGAGCCATGCTTATGTTCTCAGCTACAGCACTGTATGGACTTGCATTACTCCACCTTTCCCCAGGGACACTCTGTTGCAGAGCTACAAAAGCAATGGGCTCCTATCTACCTTGAGTTGCTTGACCCTGGATGTAAGGGTTGACCTCACCAAATCCCAGGTCATGTGGTAGGAAACGTGCCAACCCGGCTGTTGCTTTAGAGGGTGGCAGGAAGGAAGCCAGGATGACCCTGGAGCCTCCTGACATAACTCTGAAGGTCTAGTGAGGCCGGGGTCCATTCCTGGAGAGGATGCCCCATGGGAACCGTCTGACGGGAGACTTTGTCACCTAAGAACCAGAACTTACACAGTGTGGGAGCGGAGGAGAAATATGGCCAAGTTTGCTCCCTTCTGAAAAGCAGGTGCCTAGATCTCAAAGAAATGACTCTCCAGCTAAACTAAGGTCTCTCCCTTATAGCTGACCCATCCTCATTCTAGGTGCTTTCTTGTGAGGAGTTCTGACTTTCTCACCTTCATCACATTTCAGAATACAAAAATCAAATGATATTAATTAAAGATTAAGATAGGAATTGAAGTCAGATATGATAGACCCAGCTTCTCAGGAGGCTGAGGCAGGAGGATTACAAGTTCAAGACCAGCTTGTCTGAGTTAGAAAGACTCCAAAAATAAAAAAAGAGATAGGGAAAAAGCTCAGTGGTAGAGTGCCCTGAGTTCAATGACCAGTAGCACCACCAAAAAAAAAAAAACACACAGAATGTGTTACCCCCAAAGATGACCTAACCAAAATTAAAATAGAAAAAGGTGGGGAAAAGAAGGCTTTTGATAAATTCTGGGATAATAAAATAATAATGAATAATAAAGATCAATCAATAAATACTTGAGGGCACATCCCTGGGATCACCTCCCATTATGGAGCCATTATGGGAGGCAGGAAGGGGTCTCTTTGCCTGTGGTTGGGGAAGGACGAGGTGGAAAGTAAGAACTCAAGGTCTCCAACCATGTGGCCAGATCATGGAGTCTGAGTTTTGGGAATTCTCATCAGATGGGATTTGAGGCCTTCTGCCTATGACCATCCTGCCCCCACAGATGCCTCTCACCCGCCATGATTCCCTAGGCTGGCTCTGTGATTTCCCAA